CAGCGAAAGGAGCTTGCCCCCCACCCCCACCCCCCGAATGTTGAACACACCCCATACTTAGAACAGTCTGGGCTTTAAATACAGGATGTGGCAACCTTTGTAAATACATGTCAGTTGCCAAACTCCCAAAGTTTGATAATGTGACTGTGAGGAGGCTGCAGTGATCATAAGTGTGAGAACTGGTCATTAGTCATTTTGTTCAGTGCCACTGTAAATTTGAGCAATCAATAAATGAATGGTTGTAAATCAAGGATGACCTGTAACAGTAGGTGGTTTCTCTCTTCTGAATATTTCTCATAGTTACCATGCCTGAGGATCACCCTCTGGTTGTTTTTGGGAAGTCCGTCAATCTCCAAAGTACAAGGCTTCCCATCAGTTCCAGCCTGCTTTTTGGGAGGAGCTAGGAGGCTGCCTTTGAGGGCCTTGTTAAAAGTTTGTATTTACTTGGCAGTTGTGCAGGAAGAGCTATTTTCAGCCTTTCTTGGCTCACTGAGAGCCATTTCCGTTGGGGCAGGGAGTGGGATGGGAAGGCTGTAATGATCAGGCTGCTTTACCTTGGGCATCAACCTTTGCTGCTCTGTTCTTGCCTAAATGTAGAACCTAACTTTTTTCACCATTGTTTTTGTTTCTCCAAATGCATCTGTACATGTCTCACTCCCTCATATTGCATATATCACATTGCTCATTTTATGTCTGGTGTTTTGTCCTTGGGGTGGACAAGTTTCTGCCTTAGTATATTTTGGAGTTTAAAGTGTGTATGTATATTGTGTTGGTTGAAAATCCTCCTGAGCTTTTCAGATATTCCTGCAATGTATGGAATGACAACTAAAAGAATGCAAATGACTAGCTGTCTGCAAGGAATATAAATCCTTCCACTCCCCACCATCCAGTCAGAGCTGAAGAAGTTTCTTGGATGAGAAGAGAAATGTCTTCAAAGAAAAACAAGAAAGTCCAGTTGCCTCTCAAAAAAGCACCTTTAGGACAATGACAATGTTGCTTTGTTTGTTATTCTCTTCTTTGTTTGTTATGGAGGAGCTCCTGCTGGGTCCTTTTTTGGATTTGAAGGCCCAGTTGGGATAGCCACAAGTTCTGAGAGCTTTCTTGATGTGTTTTAATTCTTCTTCTTTTCCCTCTTTACTGGTAGGCAAACCTTTAGCCCAGTGGTGTAAGGTTCTGATCACTCCCATTTTGTGTTCCAATGGATGGTGAGAATCAAAATGTAAACACTGATTTCTGTGTGTGGGTTTTCTGTAAACTTCAGTGTTAAGGCTTCTGTTTTCCTTAATGTGTACTGCTCAGTCCAAGAAAGCCAGACTATTTTCCTTGACATCTTTCCACGTGAACTAAAGAGCTGATGTTACAGAGTTGATTACAGAACCAACCCCCTCCCCCATATAGATCAGGAAGAAGCTTGTCCATTCCAAGGATAAAACATCCAGACATAAACTGAGCAATGTAATATATACAGTAGAAGGTAGTGAGCCATGTGCAGATCTGTACATTGGAGAAACAAAACAACCACTTCATAAATGCATGGTACAACATAGGAGAACAAACCCATCAGGACAAGATTCAGCAGTCCATCTGCATTTGAAAGACAAAGACCACTCTTTTGAAGACAGCAAAGTCTACATTCTGGATAGGGAGGACTGCTGGTTTGAAAGAGGAGTCAAAGAGGCCATCTATGTTAAAATTGAACAGATCTCCCTCAACAGAAGGGGAATGAGGCCACCTGTCTCTTGTTTACAACACAGTCCTTTCAGCAGTTCCAAGAAGGTTCCACACCCATTTGCACTATTCAGGTGACCCAGATGAACCCCCAAGTGGCCTCAATGACTCTCAGAGAGAGTGCTAACAGCCAGATGACTGCAAGGAATATAAATCCTTCCTCCCCCTCCATTCAATCAGAACTGAAGAAGCTTCTTGGATGAGAAGTGAAATGTCTTCAAGAAACAATTATTCCAAAGGTGCCTTTTGATAAAGCATCTTTGGGATAATTGAGAGCGGCTAACGATCAACCTCCCTCCACCAACCTTATCTAGTGATTTTATGTGAACTTTTTCCAAACTGATTTATAGTAATAAGTAGAAAAAGTAGTCACTGTACCATTTAACTATTCTTAACTTTTGTACATTTTCTGAAAATAAAATAAAAATTAATAGCTATATTGTACATTCTGTTGTTGGTGTAGGTTTTTTGTTTTCTTTCGCAAAGATGAAGTCAGGAAAGCTAAGGCTCAGAATGAACAAAGACTTGCAACAAAAATCAAAGATAATTTTAAAAAGTTTCTTTCAACATATAAATAACAAGAAAAAAGTCAAGGAAACAGTGTCATGGTTCCGACAGATGAAACTCTTTAAAAGAACTTTGAGGCATTGTTTACCTTAACGAATCTTTTATTCGAGAAACAAAGTATCTGGCACTACATAGTTAAAGCCAAAAACTGAATTCCCCTCCCCTGGGCACAAACTAGCAAAGCACAATTCTCTCCTCCAATTAACGGTCATAAATCACATTCCCCAATTAGCTTGAAGCTCAGGCTTTCTCCTCAGCTCTCCAGCCCACCAAACCTTTATCAATTCTGGACACAATAACCTTGATTCCCACTGCTGAATTATTGATGTTATGACTAACTAGACTCTCATCCACATCCCCCCGCCCAGCATCATTTAACTCTGTTGTCAAAACAAGAACATCCAATGTTAGCAGCGTTGACAACAATAGGTTCTACTTAAGAGAGAAGATGGCAAGGAAGTAACAGGCAGTAGAGAGAAAGCGGAGCTGCTTAACTCATTCTTTGCATCAGTCTTCATGCAAAAAGAAAGTATAGCCCAACCTACCAAAAAACTAACTGTAAAAGACAGACTAAAAATAAAAATTAAATAAGCAAGAAAATTGGATAGAGAACACCTATCCGATCTTGACGAATATAAATCACCGGGATCTGATGGTTTACATCCCAGAATTCTGAAGAAGCTGGCAGATATCATCTTAGAACCATTTTATCATATATTTCAAAAATCCTGGAACACCAGGGAATTACCTGAGGATTGGAAAAGAGCTGGTGTGATTCTCATCTTCAAAAAGGGAAAAAAAGCAGACTCAGGAAACTACAGACCAATTAGCCTAACATCAATACCTGGAAAGATACTGGAAATGATAATAAAAAACATATCTCCAAATATCTAGACAAATAAAATTATAATTAAAAGCCAGCATGGGTTTGTTAAAAATAGATCATGCCAAACCAATCTTTTTTCATTCTTTGACAAAGTGAACCACCAGCATTTCACTGGTCTTTTAATTTAGTCACCACCAGATGGATTTGTAACTGGCTGACAAAACGTGCTCAATGAGTCGTCCTCAATGGTACTACATTTAAATGGAGGGACGTAAGCAGTGGGATGCCACAAGGCTCCGTCTTAGGCCCTGTACTCTTCAATATCTTCATTAATGACTTAGATGAGGGAATAGAAGGGGAACTCATCAGATTTGCAAATGACACTAAGCTGGCAGGAATAGCCAACACCCCAGAAGACAAGCTCAGGATCCAAAACGATCTTGACAGATTTGAACAATGGGCCCTATCCAACAACATGAAATGTAGTGTGGAGAAAAACAAGGTTTTAGACTTAGGCAGGGAAGACCAAAGATACAAGTAATCATTAGGCGGAATCTGGCTCAAAAGCAGTAACTGTGAGAGCGATCTAGGAGTCTTAGTGGATGATAACTTAAACATGAGCCAGCAGTGTGCAGCAGCAGCCAAAAAAGCTAATACAATCCTTGGTTATATAAACAGAGGCATAGAATCAAAATCACGTAAAGTATTAGTACGGCTTTATAAAGCCCTAGTAAGGGCACACCTGGAATACTGCATCCAGTTTTGGTCACCACATTACAAAAAAGATGTTGAGGCTTTGGAAAAAGTGCAAAGAAGAGCAACTAAGATGATTAAAGGCCTGGAGATTAAAACATATAAAGAATGGTTGCAGGATTTGGGTTTGGTTAGTTTAGAGAAAAGAAGGACAAGGGTGGACATGATAGTGTTCCAATATTTGAGGGGCTGCCACAAAGAGGAAAGGGTCAAAGCATCAGAGTTCAGGACAAAAAGCAATGGATGGAAACTAATCAAACTAGAACTAAGGAGAAATTTCCTGATAGTGAGGACAATTGATCAGTGGAATGTCTTGCCTCCAGAAGTTGTGGGTGCTTCATCACTGGATGTTTTTAAGAAGAGATTGGAGAGCCACTTGTCTGAAATGGCATAGAGTCTCCTGCTTGAGCAGGGGGTTGCACTAGAAGACCTCCATGGTCCCTTCCAGATCTATTCTGGGCGGGTTGTCAGCCTCATGGCCGGGCAAAACAGGGAGTTGCAGATTTTTTTCTGCACTAGAGCCAGATGTTTTGGGGGAGGAAGCTTTGCACTCAAGAGGTGCAAGACACTTTGAAATGTTGGATGAAATGTAAAAGAGTTAAAATACTGTAAGTAAAGATTACATTTTAGAAGGCAACTCTATTCCTTCAATTTTGCATTATCCCACTAAAATGAGAATGGCTATAGCAGGATTGCTTTTAATTTGCAAACTCCCTTTTGAATAATTTTTAGCTAAAAACTCTACATTTTTCTTAATATACTGATATTTTTAATTGTGTTTGCTGCTCAGATTTACCTTGCTGAGATGGGCAGCCATATAAACAGAAATACATGCTTGTATTCATACACAGCCCCTTTTATTATATCCACGTGTCCATACATAACCATTTTATTGCAATCTGTTCCATCGCCTGCCAAAGTTTCTGCTATAGTAGAATTCCAGTACAAAAAATGGTCTCTGTAATTGCAGGGAGAATGACTTCCTCCAAGACCACTACAACTGCTGGGTTAGCAGAGAAAATGCAAGTTTGTGTAGAAGACTTATCACATCAAGTTCATCCAACAGGAAGGAGCTTCTGAAGGAAGTAGATGCATGGCTGGAGCTCATTTAGCAGTGAACTTAAGGAATACTTAAAAAGTAAGAGCAGAATCTCTCCTTATCTTGCCTCTTTCCTCCCCTCTGTCTGTGCTTTTTCTGCCTGGTCAAAAGGTTGCTCTGTTGCTCTCTGTCCCTTCAGAATGTGGAGCTGATGTCTCTCCGTTGCTCAGAGAAGCTTAGTGGTAGAAGACAAAACGTCCCTATTTCTAGAATGAGGAAAGAGAACCTGGAAGCATAGAAAACTGAAATATTGAAGTATTTCAATAAAATGTCAATATTTTAATATTGAAAACACTGATTCTAGAATCTTATCGGCACCCTTAATATATTTAAAGGTTTCAATCATGTACCCCCATTCCCTTCTGTCCTCCAGACTGTGCATATTCAGTTCCTTCAATCTCTCCTGATAGGTTTTGTCCCTCAAACTTTGCACCATTTTGTTGCCCGTCTCTGGACTCGCTCAATGTTACCAATGTCTTTTTTTAACTGAGGTCTACAGAACTCAACCCAGCATCTGAAATGGAGCCTGACTAACACCCTATAGTGGGATTAAGACAGACTGGAATCTCCCTGTATGGTCCACATGTCTTGAGAAGGAAGGTTGCGAGTGAGAATCCAGGGTGGGCAAGTTGGAGATGATGTTTCTCCACCATGGCCTTTCTCTTGGGAACAGCCTTTCCCTGGAGATCTGGAGGTGCGCCCTCTCCTCACTCTGGTGCCATTGCACTGTAAATGGAACGTTTTAAGTCCCTCTCAAAGGAGACACCAAATTTTTTTTGTGATATGGTGGATTTGTTTCTGATGTGTTCCTGCTGATTATAAAGGGAATGGTTTCTTTAGGAAGTGCTTGGGCTTCCATTTGAATAATCAAAAGTCAATATGGTCTTAAGATTCCCACACCAAGGTGTGTTCTGTTCTGGGAAAAAGATCATCCATAAAAAGGAATGTTATGAAGAGTTTGATAGTGCAGCAGGCCTTGCCAATCTGCTTGCAGCAAGCTGAGATGGCTATTTCTCTGGAAAGCAGGTTGTGGAGATAGTCCAGCACCATAGAAACCCTTTCTGATTGCAGAAGCAAGGATACCGAATCCCTCAATGGGCAGCCCTGTTCTTTTAACAGACTGTAACTGAACAGAGGTTCCGAAGCTGTGCTTGGAGTAATACCTGCATGGCGACATGCCTGCCAGGCTTGAAAATTATGCAATTAATTGTTTGGTGGGTTTTTTTGGGCTGTAGGAAAATTTGCAGCAAAGATGGGACAAATTCTGATTTTGCATTTTTGGAAGGGACATTCAGTAGTTGAGTCAGCTGTTAAAAGCTAGGATTTTCAAGTTCATTTTTAACCTTTGTAATGACAAGGAAATTAGAAGCAGACTTGGGATTCCAGTGGATAGAGGAAGAATTTTGTTTATGGGGGAAAATATTTTGCACAAGCTTATCTTGTAGGAAATGCATGGGTCCTCTGCAGAAAAAAGTAGGCTGCTGAATCATCTCTCTGTAAAGAGGATGGGATGGAAAGAAGACCTGAGCCTGTCCTGGAATATGTTTGTCAGTCAAAAAAAACAAAGTACAGTATGCATGGCCTAGAGACCCTTGGGTGATTCTAAATTAGCATTTTTATTTTGTGGCAGTTATGTCTTTTCCACCTGTGAGGCGGCAGGTCCTGAAGAAAGGAAACCTAAGCCCCACCTATCTTCCTTCTCTGGGTTGTTCCAGGTAACCCAGGGTGGGTTTTTGTTTTTGTAATGGCACCAAGGCAACATTCAGGTTTCGTGAGAAGCTTAGAATTTTGGTGGTTTACAAATTTAGTTTCTCTGGTGAGCGAAGATGTGGGTTGTGGGTGGCTTGGTAGATCTTTGGGGGCCACAGAAACTATTGATCAGCGGTGGTAACCTCAGTGGAGGCTGCAACAAATGGAGCAATTGGTGGCTGTTGATCAGCTATTCATGAACTGTTAAACGCCAGGTTGATCGGTGATTGTTCAAGTGATTGGGGGGGGGGGATTTGATTGTGTGGAAACATTATTGCCCCTTAACTAAAATGCTCTTGTGATGGAGAAGGGAACCAAGGACATTCCCAAAGGAAGAAGTGCTGTATTCAGGACCATATTTTGGTCATACACGCAGGCCGGAAAAAAAACCCATATACTATGTTCACATGAAAGAGTTTGCTTCTCTAGACTCACTGGTCATGGAACCAGGAAATGAACGCCCTCCCCCCCTGAGGTGGAGAGAGGTTAGGGAGGGTTTCTTCAGAGACTGCAGTGTAAAGCAAGTTAGAGAGGAGTCTTGTGGCTGCTCTTCAGCATCCTCTCCTGACACTGAGCGAGAATGTATGTGTGGGGGGGAGCGTTGGTCTGGTCTGATCAGGCAGCCTGTCCTTGAGCTTCTTGGAGTAGCTTCTCTCCAGCCCAGACGGGGTTATTGTTAAGTGAGCAGAAGCTTTCCCCCCCCCCCCTGCATTTAATTTATGGACTTTTCAGAAGAGCAGTTTTGAAACACTGGAATAATAGAGGATAAAAATTAAGTGAGAGATGTGCAAATAGTTGCTGTCAACTTTGTGTTCTATCGCAAGAAGCTTGTGGTAGGAAAAGAATTTGGCCCTTCAAAATAATGAGAAGACTACTAGCTGGAAGGCTTCTGTTTGTATCATACTTATATTTTTCTGTTTGCAGCAATGGACAAAGTGCAGCTAAAAGCCACCGCAGTGAGCCAAGTAAATAGGAACCAGGAATCACCAGTATTTTCAGCCTGAAGAAGCTGAACGGGTCTCACGGTGCCTTGCCCGTCTTATAAGGAATAATCTTGTCTGGCAGCGGCTGGAATGGTTTGTAGAAACGCTGCCTCAGAAGTAGACATTGTTTCTTTCTTTTGAGGCACACGCTGCTGCTAAGATCAGCATTAGGAAACAATGTTAAATATTACAGTTTGCTATTAGCACTCTAACCAAAGGAGGTTATATTTCAGTTGCTGGGTTGGAGTTTCCATTTAGGGATAGAAAAGTGAGATACCTTTCGTATTCCTGTCATTGTCAAATATCAGCTCCATCCCCTCAAAAACGAAGCAAGCTGGACCTATTATAACAGTGGTGGCGAACCTATGGCACGGGCGCCAGAGGCGGCACTCGGAGCCCTCTCTGTGGGCATATGCACCATCTCCCCAGCCCCGCCTTCTCCCACAGCCCCCTCCTCACCAGCAGCCCCCCTGGAGGAGAATTGCCCCTGGGTGAGGCCCACATGAAGCAGTGGAGCCAAGGACATGGTAGCTGGGCAGTGGGGACAAGACCCCCACCCTTTGCGCCCCGTTACGCGCAGATGATGATGCAGGGCACGGGCGAAGGGCATGGCCGCCATGGCGCTGCTGGGCTGCCTGGGTGATCTGTGGCGGGCTGTGGAGGTGGTGGGTGACCCAGTGGACAGGGCGGAGCGGGGCCAGAGGTGGGGGGCAGTTTTTGTGCACTCAGTTTCTAAAAGGTTCGCCATCACTGTATTATAACAACAAGGAAACACCATGGAATTAATTGGTAGGAAAGTAGTGTGACAGATGTGGCAATCCACCTTGGCCCTTGGCTCACCTTAGAAATCAAACCAGGCAGCAGGATAGTTGATCCAGGTATAAAAAAGAACCTCGTGGCAGATCGAGGAGTTCCACCTCCTGGGGTGCCCTGAACATTCCTGACATTTTGTGGCAGACCGAGGCAAAATTCCGACGGACATATATAAGTTATTTTTCATGGTTTTATCTAACATTTCTTGCCTTTTTGCTGAAACAGTAAACAGAGTTACTGTATCTGTTGTCTTTAAAGGAAGCAGGGGCAATGTCAGTGTAACAGTTTCTGGAATGAACTACAGTAAGCACCCTGAATAGTTTCAAAAGATTAATGCGGCTGGAAAGGAAGAAATGTAATTCTCACAGGAGCACATTGATCCGATCTATCCTGAATGCATCTTTCTAAGTGCATCCAGCCTCAAGGACATCACATTAGAATATATAAAATTGCAAGAACAATGCTGTCATTAATTATTGATGTGGCATAAGATAAGACAGGCAGTATTGAAATCTGAAGCCTCTATGATCTCTTTCAGTCTCAGGCTTTTTTTTTTTTTTAAATGTCCACAGCAGATAGATTCGCTGAAAAATTAGCCCGATATAGGAGTAACCAAGTAGACTCCCAGGCAAATGCTGCTTTCCGTTATTTTTTTTTACTTCTAAAGCATGTTTTGTTCAAATTCACCTTCATGGATTTTTCTGTTTCTTTTTTTTTAGGTGCCCTCTATCTCTTACCATGGAAAAGTGGGTTTTCTGCCTTCTGGTTATGAGCACCATGGCTATGAGGGCCCTGATGTGTCCCATGCGCTGCAGCTGCCAGACGGTGTCCCCCTCTTTCACCATTCTCTGCACGAAGAACGGGCTGCTCTTTGTCCCTCCTGCCATTGACCGACGGACAGCAGAACTCCGACTGATGGATAATTTCATCACGAGTTTGCGAAGGAAGGATTTTGCAAACATGACAGACCTGATCCATTTAACATTATCACGAAATACAATCAGTCATATTATGCCTTATGCATTTTTTGATCTTAAAGGCCTTCATGCATTACACCTGGATAGTAACCGACTCACCTATATTGATGAGGATCACTTCAAAGGGTTGATCAACCTTCGCCACTTAATTCTCAGTAACAACCAGTTACATTATATTTCATCTGGATCTTTTGATGATTTTATTGACATAATTGAGGATCTGGATCTATCCTATAACAATCTTGTTAATGTCCCCTGGGAAACTGTTGGGAAGCTTTCAAATGCCAATACTATTAGTTTGGATCATAACCTCATAGATTTTGTTCCTGAAGGCATCTTCTCTGACCTCCACAAACTGGCTCGGCTGGACATGACTTCTAACCAGCTCAGGAAGATCCCTCCAGACCCTCTTTTCTCCCGCATCCCTGTCTACGCCAAGCCCAAGGGCACCCCTCTGTCCTCTCTGGTCCTGAGCTTTGGAGGGAACCCGCTACACTGCAATTGTGAGCTAGTGTGGCTGCGGCGCCTGACTAGGGAAGATGACCTGGAAACCTGTGCCTCCCCACCCGAGTTGATGGGCAAGTACTTCTGGTCCATTAAGGAGGAGGAGTTTGTTTGCGAACCACCAATGATCACTCGCAGAACGGCAAAGCAAGTGATCATGGAAGGACAGAGCGTTTCCTTGAAGTGTAGAGCAGTAGGTGATCCAGAACCATATGTGCGCTGGATTTCACCGGGAGGAAAATTGGTCTCCAACACTTCTCGAACAATTTCCTATGAGAATGGGACTTTGGACATTTTAGAGACTTCCATGGAAGAGCACGGCATGTATACTTGTATAGCATCCAACGCTGCAGGGGAGTCCACTGCACCAGTTGAACTTCTGGTCAGCCCATATCCTCATCTCGCTAACAGCACAAACTCTGGCAAAGAAGCTGAGACAGGCCCATCGGATATCCTCATCTCGGCCAAGTCCAGCTTCTCTAATGAAACCAAATCTCACCAAGAGAGGAAAGTGGCCATTGCTGAGCTGACCTCATCCTCTGCCCTCATCCAGTGGTCTTCACAGCACCATATTCCCGGGATGAGAATGTTTCAGATCCAGTACAACAGTTCTGCTGATGACATCCTGGTGTACAGGTATGCATTCTTGCCAGGCTTGTTTCAAGTTTATTTCTGGCATGGTGCAGTGGTAGAAAGCTCGGTGATTAGAGGAGTAAAACTGCTTGCTTGACGCCTTCGCATGGAATGAGTTGGGATGGTAAAAGGAAGATCCTCATGAGGCAGAATGAAAAGAGAAACATCTCCCACTCAAAAGGGAAAATCCAAGCCAGGGCTCTTAGTTCCTCACGTTCCTTTTAAACTAGAACTCCATACAGGATAGATGAGAATTGCATTAAAAAACAGGCTGGTCAATTTCATTTCATTTTTGTGTCTCGATTCCTGGTGACTGCCTGGAGTAGTCCCTTTCGTTTTCTTGGCCACATTTTTGGAAGGGGTTTCATCTTGCCTTCTTACTAGGGCTGAGAGAGAGTGACTGACCCATGGTCACCCAGCCGGCCACATGCCTAAGGCAAGATTAGAACTCATGGTCTCCTAGTTCTCTGAAATTGCTTCCTAGGCCTAAGCCTAACAGTAGCTGGGGATAGAGCTCCTTCCTCCCTCCCTCCCTCCCTCCCCTCTCTCCCTGGGTTAATTTCCTCAATTTGCCAGTCCCAATTCTGCTCCCCATGGCAGGTGAAATATGGCCTAGGTTAGTCAGAGAAAAACCTATATGTCAGGCCTTTACATAATTGAAAAACAGAATTTAAATATGTATATACCATATATAGAGACTATAATGTTGCTTTGTCAAAGAAAGAATAAGAATGCACCATCAACTTGAAGCAGTTAAAAAAACACAGTCTTGTGTGTTGATGTTACAGAAGACCTCATAAAAATAGGTTTAATGCTATTTTTAAGAACCCTTTGGTTACTGGGCAATCTAAAATAATGTATGCATGCATGCATTTATTTCCACTTGTACGACCATCCATCTCATTATGTTAATAACCAAGAAACTTGGTTATTACCATACAAACCATACAAACTTATGAAATTCCTTCTGTAGCCCCATGATATCCTATACCCACAAGGGGTCCAGTAGCTCCTTTTCCAACCAAGAAATGCTATCAAAAGGCAGAAGCCTTCATCAGCTGCAGTTTACCTGAAGATACACAGCTCACGAAAGCTTCAGCCTTTTAATAAAGATGCTATAACAGTCCAAAACGGTGGTAGTGGATCCCTTCTCATGTCAGCTGTCTGCACTCAATTGCGTTTGGACCAAAGAGGCTAAAGGTCATCCCTTTGAAGTTTTAGGTGGATCTCCAAAGCTGGCAAATGGCTGTTGCCATCAAAGCCGTTTCCTGTTCAAAGTGAACAAAGTGGCAACCGAAGCTTCTCAGGCATAGATTCAGCTTTGATGCAAGGAGATTGGTCAACAGAGGCGGGCCAAAGGAGCAGCCCATCTGCGCTCAGTCACATCGCTCTATTCCCTTTGTGAAGTTTGCCTGCTTGCATCATTTTGTGTCAATGTTGCCCTGTGTTCACCAGGCAAGTAACTGGTGGCTGCCCCTTTGACTCACGGGCATAAGGTGTCCACAGGGGCGAGTACATTGTGATGTTAAAACACAAATTGCACTCCATATATACTTGTGTGCAATACTGTGATGCCAGGAGAAGAAGGCAGAAGGCATCACGATATCATAATGCACACTTTGCCATTTTAACACCCTCATGGCCACCAACGGACACTTATGTTGCCTACACAGCCAACGGCTACCCTATTCATCCTTTTAGCATTTCAGGAAATCACGAAAGTGGAGAGTGATGATGCTGTGTGGTTCTCTTGCTATATAGACTGAGTTTGTCTTCTCTTGCAGGATGATCCCAGCTTCTAGCAAGTCTTTCTTCCTGACTGATCTGGTTGCTGGGCGGGACTATGACCTGTGTGTCCTTGCTGTTTATGATGATGGTGTCACTTCTCTGACAGCAACCCTCGTGGTAGGGTGTGTGCAGTTCTCCACGGAGGAGGCATACCAGCAGTGTCAGTCCCTCCATGCACAGTTTCTTGGTGGAACCATGATTATTATCATTGGAGGCATCATTGTGGCGTCTGTCCTTGTTTTTATCTTTATACTTCTACTGAAATACAAAGTTTACATCAACCATCACAAAACCAAAAACCCTGAAGTGAATAATGTTTGCTCTCAAACCAACGGTAGTCAAAGTAACTCTCTGGTACATTCCAGTTCCAAACTGGCTGAATGGATCCAGCAAGAACGTTCAAGCTCACCATTCAGAGGCAAAAATATACTAGACTTTGACTACGAACGAGCAGTCTCTACAGAAGTGTCTGTTTTAAGAAATGAAGTCTTTCCTTAATAGTTATGCTGGTCCCAGGCAAGAAGCATTAAAAAATAACTAATGTAGTTGTATTTTAAGCTTCACTGTCTATTTTTAAGATCAGATGGTTTTAAACACTATTTTTTTAAACTGTAAAAGTTCTTGCATTCCTAACTATTTTTGTTGCACTATATTAAATATAAAGTGTGTGATTTTGAAAGTTTTTAGTCATTCTTATTTATTTGCAACCAAGTCTAGATCGGTACTTACAAAAGCTCCGTATACTGCAGGTTACGTGCTACTAAACAGATGCACTTCCCTTCAGCACCCTAGGTCATATTTCACAATAGTATGCTGAGGAGGAAGTGCATTTAAACAAACAGTGCTAAAAAATGTCAGTGGAACTGCCAGAGTTCAAAGAACAGAAAGGTTTAGGGAAGACTGGTACACAAATTCCTCAATTAACAACCACTGCTCAAAGTTGCGATGGTGAACAAGCGCACTTACAACAGATCATGGAAGTTCCCCCTGGTGCAGCACCCCTGCGATCCTGGGATGGTGACTGGGATGCTTGGCAACCGGCCTGAGCTTAAACAGCTCAAGCATCCCACAGCCACATGGTTGCCACTGGTGACCTTCCGTGAAGGCTTCTCACAAGGAGGGGGAAGCCAGCAAGGGAGGTTGCAAGGGGCTTCGGTCAGTTGCTCTCGTTGCCTTTTCTCCCCAGACCATGGAGTACAAAATCCGAGAGGTCTCATATTCCATACTGCACGCAGACTTGCATGCACATGGCACTGTAGCAGCCCCCCCCACACCTGACTTACCTAACCCTAACCTATAGCACTTACCCCACTCACTGACCTGCTTGCCAGCCCCCTGGGACTTGCCCCTTGCATTGACTTTGCTTCTGAGAACCTGGCAGGAGATCCCAAAACAGGTGAAGTCCTTGCTTAATGACAGGAAGGGGGAATGCCAGGTTGCTATTGCTAAATGAGGGGGTCATGTGATGTCACATTTTATGACCACATGACTTTAGTGATGGAAATTCCAGTCCTGATTACTCTTGTTAAATGAGGATTCCTATACCTTGTTTTGATGAGTGCCAGATACCAGCTTTATTACATTGACAATGGAACAGGATTAGTCCCTGACATCCCCCCTCCCCATCTCTCTTAGGGCAAAATAGAGAAAGCCTAAAAGACTTCCTGTGTGTGGGGAGTCTATTTGCTAAGCAAACTCCAGTCGTTATTGCTATAAATCTTTGAGCAGCAGGTTTACGGCATATAGAATAGAATAGAATAGAATAGAATGGAATGGAATAGAGCTGGAAGGGACCTTGGAGGTCTTCTAGTCCAGCCCCCTGCTCAAGCAGGAGAACCTATACCATTTCAGACAAGTGACTGTCTAGTCTCTTCTTAAAAACCTCCAGTGATGGAACACCAGTTTTGTTTTGTTAATCGGCTGGCAAATAGTTCATCTATTTCTTTCTGATTGGTTGGTTGGCCTGTAATATACACCTATGGCAATGTCCCTTTTTTCCTTTCCATATACATCCTGGAGGGGTTTTATCTTTGATCATGTGCATTTCTGTAGATATGTAGTGTTCTCTTACATATAGTGGAACTCCCCCTCCTCTTTTTATAGATCTATTTCTTTTGAACAATTTGTATCCATCCGTACATTCCAGTCATGGGTTTCGTCCCACCATGTTTCTGTAATGCTAACGATGTCATACCTGCCCTCGTGTACTATTGCTTCTAGTTCACCCTGTTTGTTCATCAAGCGTTGAGCATTTGTATATAACCATTTAAGACCTTTATGCCTGTCCTTGGATATGTTTCCTGCATTTCCTAATTGTTGAGTTTTTCTTTTTTCTCATCACTCCGTACCTCATTGTTTGATTTCTTTTCTTGGGATTTATGACTGTTTTTGAGTTCTTTGCTATTATTGTTCTCTTCTTCTATCTCTTGTTTCTGTTTTCTGCTTGGCTGGATTTTGGCAATTGCTTCTAGGGGAGGAAACTGCAATTTTAACAGCAGCCTAGGTTTCTTGTTTAGGTCGGAGTTAGGGCAAAGCCAAGGCAACGGGCCTGCAAATGTAGCCAACATGGAATTATAATTACAGCCCGATACAAAACTTCTTTAGGGAACCAAACAGATTCTAACAGGTACACACGATTTCCGCTAGCAACTTCAACAGCCACAATGCAGCGAAAAAACTTTATTGCCTCGGAGTATTCCAGAGCAGTTTGTCCATTCCAGGTGAGTTTACAGACTTAATGTACAGTCGCGACCGATTCGTAAAAGAATGTTCAATTTTATTTTTTGCACAAGCTTTCCATCCCAACTCTTCTCCAAGCAACCCAACACGTCCTCCTTTGCGGGCGATATAGGAGGGGAGGCCACCTTTTTCGATAAGCGTTCCTCGAGTGTGAGAGTCCAAGTCCTGCCGTCAAAGAAGGAACAGTAGGCAGAAAGGGAAATCAAACCTTTTAATGCGATTTTAAGATTATTCCGCATCTACGGAAACTCTTATTAACTCAGTTTAAGACTTTTGAAGCAGGATTCCTCCTCCCTCGTCCGTTCCAGGGGCCAGAAAATAGCAGCCACCCAAAGAAATCCACCTTTTTAATGGCACGTTAAGGTTATTTTTCTTTCTCCCTAAAACCTTATTAATATTAGGCCATCCTAGTCTTTCTTAACTAGGTTTAAGGCTTTTGAAGCAGATTTCTTCTTCCGCGCCTGCGTTGCAGCAAACGGGCCTCCCCTGGCCCTATTAATAAGGCGTTAATACCGTTAATAAAGATAGAGAATACCGTAATCTTAAAACGCCATTAAAAAGGTTTATTTCTTTTGGTGGCCGCCATACCCATTTTTGACCACAGGAGGGCACAGTTTTCCGTCCCGTAGCTTTAGCTTGGAGTCCATCATAGGCCTTTTTAATGGCCTCCATCCTATAGCTAAGGCAGGGGTAGGCAACCTTGGCTCTTTTGTGACT